TGGCCCCATAGGTGATCGTGTTCCTCCATGACAGGGTCCCTCAGTCCAAACTTGTTTGCTTGCAAAAGCAACCGAAGGATGGCTGTGGCACCGAAGACTTGGTCATGCAGGTATGAGAAATTTGCAGACTCTAGTGAAGAAAAATCATCTCCGTGGAATTCCTGATGTAAAATTCGACAAGGATCCTCTCTATGGTGTGTGTGAGGCCGGTAAATTAGCCAAGAAGCATCATTCATCAAAAACTATTATGACAACAAGAAGACCTCTGAAAATTCTTCATATGGATTTATTTGAACCTCAAAACTATGCAAGTTTCAGAGGCAGACAAATGGTCTGGTTATTGTTGATGATTTCTGTTGGTATACTTGGGTATTATTTCTAGAAGACAAAACCTGCACCCAAGACATCTTCAAAAGATTTGCCAAGAAAGCCCAAAATGAATATGATGTGCGAATTAAGCATGTTAGAAGTGACAATGGTACTGAGATAAAAAATACTCATATCGAAGATTTTCTAGACGAAAATGGTATCACTCATGAGTTCTCTATCGCGTACACTCCCTGACAGAATGGAGTTGTTGAGCGAAAGAATAGAACTCTCATCGAAATGGCGAGAACAATGATCAGTGAGTATAAAACTCCTATTCGCTTCTGGGCCGATGCTATTAACACTGCTTTTCATGTTGTGACTCATGTTTATCTTCACAAATTCCTTAAGAAAACTTCATATGAGCTTATCACTGGCAAGAAACCAAATGTTTCTTGTTTACGTGTTTTGGTGCACCTTGCTACATTTGTGACATGAATCATAATTCCAAGTTTGCACCTAAGGCACATGAAGGTTTTCTTCTTGGTCATGTCTCAGACTCGCATACTTATCTTGTCTATAACTCTCACCACGGGAAAGTTATGGAAATGGTAATTGTGCGGTTTGATGAATCTAACGGCTCCCAAAAGGAGCACCTGCCTAATGTGATAGATGAACCACCGATTTTGGATACTATTTGGCAAATGGCCATTGGGAGCATCAAGCTAGTTGAAGGAAATGTACCTGACTCTTTCGATGATGATGCCTGCATGACTCGAAGCAGAACTCCCCAAGCCGCTGCCGAAGAAAATGCCACTCCGAACACAAATGGCAACCAGAATGCAAATGCCAATCAAAATGGCAATCCCGATGGAAATGGCGACACAAATGCTATTCCCAATGTTGATGCTGAGGAAAATGAAAATGATCTTCAAGATGAAAATCCTCACCCACAAGTGGCTAATCGAGTTGACCCTTCATTAAATCTCGAAGAACTCGAGAATCCAAGTTATCGACCCACAACTCATTCTCGCACTCGGTTGGCTAACTACTGTGGCAGTTTCTCCTTTGTCTCATTGATAGAACCTACCAAGTATGAAGAAGCCATGAATGACCCCGATTGGATGAATGCCATGCAAGAGGAGATGGCGCAATTCAAACTGAATGATGTTTGGGAATTGGTTGACAAGAAGAATCCTAAGAAGCATAATATCATCAGCACCAAATGGATATTCCAGAATAAGGAAGATGAAAATGGCACTCTAGTGAGAAACAAAGCACGTATTGTCGCTCAAGGGTATGCATAGGTAGAAGGTATTGATTTTGGTGAAACATATGCTCGTGTTGCTCGCCTTGAGGCAATTCGTATTCTTCTTGCTTATGCAAACTACAATGATATCCTGCTTTATCAAATGGATGTGAAAAGTGATTTCCTTAATGGTGAAATTGATGAGGAAGTATATGTTAGGTAGCCACCTAGCCTTTGAAAATCCTTAGTTTCCTAACAAAGTTTTCAGGTTGGAAAAGGCTCTATATGGGCTGAAGCAAGCCCCTAGAGCATGGTATGACACCTTAAAGAGGTTTCTGCTCGACAAAGGATTCAAGCTAGGATCCACTGATCCCACTCTTTTCACTCGTGTTGTTGATGGTGATCTTTTCATGTGTCAAATTTATGTGGATGGTATTATTTTTGGTTGTACTAACAATGCTTGCAGCTTGGAGTTCGGGAAAATAATGTCCGAGAAATATCAAATGTCTATGATGGGTGAACTTAAGTTCTTTCTCAGACTGCAAATACGTCAACGGGACAATGGAATTTTCATATCTCAGGAGAAATGTCTGAGAGCATGTCTGAAGAAGTTTAAAATGCAAGATTGCAAACTGAAGGGCTACAAAACTCCAATGCCCATGAATGGTCAGCTGGACGCAGATGTGTACTGTAAAAGATTATGATCAGCAAGCTTATCATTTGATGATTGGTTCTCTTCTCTACATGTGTGCATCTAGACCTGATATTATGTTGAGTGTTTGTATGTGTGCTCATTTCCATGTCGTGCCAAAAGAATCGCATCACCAAGCGATCAAGCGCATTCTGATATATTTGGCTCACACCACCACCTTAGGTTTATGGTATCCTAAGGGAGCACCATTTGATCTCATTGGATATTCAGACTCAGATTGTGCAGGTGACCGTGTTGATAGGAAATCTACTTCGGGGACATGCCCTTTCCTCGGTAGATCTTTGGTATGTTGGTCGTCAAGGAAGCAAAATTGTGTTTCTCTCTCTACGGCTCAGGCCGAATATATTGCTACTGATGTGTGTTTCACTCAGTTATTTTGGATGAAGCAGACTCTGAAGGATTATGGCATCAAGGTCAAGAAGATTCCCTTATTCTACGACAATGAGTGCGATCAAAATTACAGCAGCATTCTCGCACCAAGCATATTGCGATCGGACATCATTTCATTCGCGATCATGTTGCTCGAGAGGATATTGTTGTCAATCATGTCAATACTAAAGACAGTCTCGCTGATATCTTCACCAAGCCTCTCGATGAGAAAAGATTATGTGTGTTACGGTGTGAGCTAAATATCCTAGACTTTGCAAATGTGCAGTAAGCTGGACTCGGCACCCGTACCATCACTTCCACATCTTAAAAGGAATGGGTGCACAACACTCGAAGAGTTTGAAAATTTCGACAAAGTGGAATTTTCTTTCTGAGAGTGAATACATTAACGAAGAACTAGACTAATTGGGTGCCACGATAATTGTGTGACACTCAGGGTCATACAGTTCTTATACGGTGGGTTACGCCACCACAGTTTTTCTTTGTTGAGTTGCCTTTCGGTTGAAGGATCTTGTGTTAGTCCGAATGTATTTCACTCATAGCTTTTCTCTCATGTGTTTGTGTTTCGTTGTCTGAGTGAAATGCCTAGGACCCTGTTTTCCCTCTATTCTATCTCTTTCGGTCTATGTTGTTCCGTTATGAATGCTCAAATCCATCTGGTAACGATACTTTATCTGCTGTCCTTCACCACGGTAAAGGTTTGTTCCGGACTTAATCTGTTTTTGCGAAAGCCATCCAAAATTTAGGGTTTCCCGCCCAAGTCGGGACCACGATCTTTTATGATGGTTGCCACATGCACCTCATCAACTGTCAGTGTATCTGGTCCGTTGAATTGCAATAGTCCCTTGAATGTGGCCGTCCGATCAGATTCACCGGATGCCTTCAATGAGGCAGAGTGGCGTCGTCCCCAGGCCCGCAGAGCTCGGGGAGCGCGGCCGCTGTGGCCGTTGCCTCCAGCCTATAGAAGATTTGGGACCTAATCCGGCTATTCGGAGTGGGTGGCTGCTGTGGCTCACTTAAGCCACTGTGCAAGTGGTTCCTTCTAACTCCAGGTGAGCTGCTCATCCGTGTTTTTTCGGCCTCCAGCGATGTTGGCTGGCCTTGACGCGACGGAGAAGCAGAGAAGACCAAGGATGGGCTTGCAATTTTATTTTTTTTGTTTGGGGTCCTCTGTGATGTATGGCGGAGCCAGCCATACGGCTTGTATCCTTCATGTATTTTTTTTTCTCGAATACGCACGAGTGTGCATACTATATATATTAAGAAGAAAGAGAGGTAAAGAGCCCTCCGCAATGTTGTTACACGGTATTTCCTCCCTATATTTCCATATTTGTATGTGTGCTTTGTATTTCCGTATTTGTACGTGTGCTTTCTAGGTTATCTGTAATGTTTTCCAACTCATATAAATACAAGTAACGTATGCCTACAGACGTACAGTTTCAACAATAAAAATCAACTTATAAACAGGGCACCCATGGATGGTTACCGAAAGTAAATATGAACTCGTCACCACCCTGGTCACAAGCCTGCTAGCTGACTTTCCTAGGATCTCTCTTGTTGAATAAAGCTCTCTAAATTCCGAGCGAAAAAAAAATCCTCGGTAAGGTCGCTCGGGAAGTTCCACCTAAGACGACTCCCATACTATTTTTGTGAGTGAGACCAGTTATAGGAACTCAATAATTACAAGAGAAATTACGACAAGATTTATAAACAATAGTAAAAACAAATTGAGCAACCGTCAGGAGCGCTGACCTTTCATCAAGGGAGAAATAGGTACATTTTGGCGTGTTTGAAAAGGGGACATGCCAAACAACATAATAAAAATAAAACAATAGAATGGATAGATGATATACAAGTTGCTGTCTTACAAAAAAGATGATTCAGACTTTTCTTTTTTTGCATTCAGACTGTTGTGTCAACCGGAATGAAAATAAGTTGTTTAGAATAACCACCGCTAGTGCGGTTCTTAGGCAACTGCCTATAGTCAACACATTCATCTTTGTTTTGACGTCACACTCCAAGAAACATATCGAACAAGCAAGGTGTGACGAGATATGACTGGACTATGACGTACACTACATACCCAAGAAACAGAGCAGCAGCTAAGCATTTAAATGTGGGGGAGAAACTACAAACAGCATCACGAACATTGCCTCCTTCCAATCAAATAAACATAGCTGCACAGGTTTTGCCAACAATGTACAATATACCACCAATCAACTAACAACAATGGTGTCGGTATGTCCTGCATGCACAGCAATCTGTACAAATCAGCCTAGCAACTTCGGGCCACCAGCCACCGGAAGACTTGAATGAGTAACCGAACCTGATCTGGTGCTCCAAGTTCTAACTGCTAGCATCTTGGAAGAAGTCGGCTGGAATCGATGGCCGGCAGTACTTCTTCGCTACAAATTTGTACTGGGGGAACATATGGAGAAGGCCAATAGCAGTTTAGCATCAAAGTAGAAAGGGAATTAAATGCTTCCAAATTGCTGTTGACGGCACTCCCTCACCTTGTGTTGGCTGTACTTTTCTCTAATTGCAGGGAGGTTGCTTCCAAGGCCAACACGGAAAAGCCGGTGTAGTACCTTTACACAATCGCGTAATGTGGATGGTTTGTATTGTGTGTGATAGGAAAGAGTGGTATTCTGCTTCAGTTTCAAAGAGATACGAATGTTACATGTGCAGCCCTTGAGGGAAAAAAGGTTTAACAAATAAGATCCACAAGAACCAAGAAGGTTGAATGCATATATACCCAAGGATTCTTTGTTGGCTTAAGGATAAAATTCGCCAAGAAAATTGAAGAGGCAGCTATCAGTGAAGGTACATGGCAAAGTAAGCTGTACTCCAGAAGTGACAACTCAGTAATGTAGCTAGCTAGGAACTCAAGATGCAAAGCTGGGCCCTGCAGAAGAATAGGTTGAGTAAGCTGGAAGACCACATTGCACACAGGACTGACTGTAACTGTAAATAATTGAAGAGAAGCAATTACCTCATGACATAGTTGAGCAGCATGCAGAAATCTCCTATTGTCGGAAATAATAATATATTTAGTGTCAGTAATTATGTTTATGTGTATAAATATCACAATAACAGAGAATGCTACCTCAAAAAACATTTTTCTGTAGGTGCAGTCATCTCAAACATCAAGCAACCCAGGATAGAAGCTTCCATTCGCAGAACCTGTGTTATCTGTGTGTAACAAAACAAAAGATCATAAAAAAATATGTAAAGGAAAGTCAATCGGCAGGGCCATAGACCTCATCCTTTATGTATGTATTGTCGGTAATATAGCAGAGCTCTTCTACTTGGGGTGGACATATCTCTTCATACTTACTGAAATTTGAATATAAAGCATATCAGAACAGAAACAAGAAAAAAAAAACTTAATACAACAGAAGAGACAAATTTAACTCGATGGATCTTACGCAGCTATAAGCAAGCAGGCGATACCAAGTAACTGCAGCTTATCTCGATTGATCTCTTTGCTAGAAAGATACCGATCAATATAACTGACTGTGAGGTATAAGGTTTCAGGAACAAGACGATATTCTTCTGTGACCTGAATTGAGTAGGGTAAAAAGGTAACCGATTAGAAGAAATATTTTTGTGTGTCTAGCTTCTGAAACCTTTTTTCTAGAAATGCTCACTTCCACAAGCCAGTCTATAAGTACTGCCCTCATGCTTGTGTCAATATCCTTCTGAGTGGTTTCCAGAAAATCTGGTGAAGGCCTTTTCTTGGCCTGCTAAAAGACAAATATAACATTACAGTAGAGATAGATATAGACAGGCGGTCTGCAACTGCTTTAGGAAGAAAGCAAAGACATGGACAACATGGATGATGAAGCAATGCATTGTTCCATAGAGATGTGAGTGAATGAGAAATGAGACATCTATCAACATACTGTATTTCTTGTTCAAAGACGACAATATTGAAAAGCTATGTGTGCTATTGGATTTGTGAATTAGAAGCAAAATTCTTCTATTCCTAGCTCCCAATTGATGCATCCCTTTTACACACAACGAAGTGACATCTTGTGTAGATAACAATATGCATTTACTTTGCAGGTGTGTGCACACTGCAGAAATTACTTGTTGCACAAAGCATGCAGACATTAGAAGTTCCATATGAACAAGAATCAATCACCTCAGCTTCACGCAAGTGTTTGTAAATGTCACAAGCAAGAGTTGAACACAGTTCTGGATCCTTGCAGTGCGTTTCAATCTCAAAGATATTGTCATTTTCGATTGGGGTAGGACAATGTTTTCTCCATCTAGATACTGTAACAATAAAGAAAGAACAAAAATAAATAATTATACAACACAACAGATTAGAAACCTAACCAGGATTACTGTGACAGGCAAACAAACCTGTGGTATCCCTATTGTCAGATACAGGAAGTTTATCATTCGCACAACGGCGCAAGGAAGTTGCCACTGAAGAAGCTGCATTGTCAAGGAATGGAGGACCAGGGCTTTCCACTGAATTGCATGTTAGCATATCGTCCTCCATAGAAACAGAATCATGAGACAGGCCGGGTCAACTGCCATGGGGCGCCAACAAAGGCACAGAAGGGCGACTAACATTCTCCTTCTTAAGGGCATTGCCATGGTGCGATATTGCTCGCTCAAACCGGTCGAAAGTTGGTTTTGTGGCAGAAGCCACTTTCCTGTTCACGTTGGGAAGGCTAGCAGAACTCCCCTTCTTCACATAGGCTACTGAGTTGGATGAACTCGATTTCTGCAATAAGAACAGACTCAGTGAAACAGCACAACCGAAGAGAACAATCACCAGACAGGTAATACATAACGAATCACCAATAGAAGATTCAGAAGCGATCAGAAGATAATAACGAAAACATAGGCTGATAGCCAGTGCGACTGCGATCTACTACATTTCGGAACATGTGGCACACCGAAACATTTGAAAACCCTAACTTACAAGATCAGAAAAGCAGATGAACCAAATATGTGCAAGGAAATGTTCAATCGGGGCCGGTGGAACAAGCAAAAGACATTACATAGGGAAAAGCAATTGCCGGTGGCACAGAAAATTTCGTGAAAACATAAAATAATCGGGTACCTGTCGTGGAATTGACGGAGACAGGGGAGGAATTGTACAGGGGCCAGTAATAAATATAGGGAAATCTTATAAATTATGCATCAAATTGATCAAGAAGAGGGCAACCCGCGAAATGCCATAGCAGATTATTATCCAATAAATCTGCTCAACAAGTGCGGTATGTATAACATCTAGGATACGTCTCTACATGCCGTCCCCTTGTAACCAACGAGAATCCAAGCAAAAGCAATTGCCGCCGCGAAAGGAACAACGCCGATCTCGCAACGAGCCATACCGCATCGGCCGCGCCGCTCCTCCCGCCGACAACGTTGGTGAGATCTCCCAAGGCGGCCCGCCTGCTTTCCACCGACGCTGCCTTGGCAACCCTAGCGCCGGCTGTCTCCGCCGTGGCCGACGCCGACGAGCGGCGGCCGGCGGGCCGGCTCGACATTGAAGCGGATGCGGCGAACTCGGTGGGGAAGGCCTGAGCTCGCCGAAGACGAGGAGGAGGATAAGACGAGACGCTGTGTGTGAGAGCCACTCTCTCGATCTCCTCTTACGAACTAGGGTTTGCTGCTATACCAAAACAAGCATCTGGCCGAAGCCAATCCGTACCCCGCCAACTCTGCATGCATCGATTGATTGATGCAGAGGCCGGCTGTATTCCTGCTTTTCAAAAAAAAAACCTTTTTTTCCTGGCGAAACAGAACTACAGTGTTTCGACCGTTACATGGTGCAGTCCGGGCCAAGTAAAAAGTGTTTTAAGGGCCGATTTTAGCTGCGGCCCAACAGGTCCCGTATAATCAATCCGCAAAAGAAATCAACCCGTAAAAAAGATTCTCTAAATATACCAATTTATCAAGCAAGGCCAGTTGGCCCACTACTTTCCTCTAGTTAAGGTTTCTAGTTTTCTCCCGGGGCGATTTTCGCCGCTGTTGAGGATTGCTCCCCTACCGCCGATCAACCCCCTCTCCCGCCTGTGTTGCGCTGGGGGTGGCCACCAGGGCTGTCTCCACGTCCGCGTCGAGGGAGGGAGCGGCGGAAGTTAGGGTTCCCCCACCAAACCCGATCTGTTCTTTCGGGTGAGAGATCCAATGGCGACTTCCGGGGACTCAAGTTCTTCGGGGATCAGTGAAGTTGAGAAGATGATGCAAGAGTTGGGACTGAGAGAGGAGGATCTGGATGATGTGATCTTTGACGAGCAAGCTGCGCCGCCGGAGGGGCCGAGATGGGTAGCCCTAGGTAGGGTTAACACCACGAAGAGCTATAGCCAGACTTGGTTTTACAGAAACATGAGAGCGCCGTGGGACATCGCGCAGGAGGCTAAGTTTAAACCTCTGGAGGAAAACCTTTATACTGTCCAATTCACTTGCCTTGGTGATTGGGAGAGAGTCATGAACGAGGGCCCTTGGAACTTCAGAGGGGACGCGGTGATCCTGCTGCCGTATGACAGAATCTCGAAGCCTTCCACTGTCAAGCTGGAGACAATCAAGATATGGATACAAATCCATGATGTCCCAGAACTATATGCTCATTTGGTGGCTCCGCTGGCAGCAAAAGTGGGAGAAGTTCTTTTCTCGGAACCGAACTCACATGACTTTGTGGGCAATTTTCATCGAGTTTGGGTCAGCATCAATGTCCATAAACCCCTCAAGAATGTGGTATCTATGATAAGAGATGGGAAGAGGCAGATATACAGAGACAAGTACGAAAAGCTACCGGACTGGTGCGCGGTTTGTGGTATGCTAGGTCACTTATATAAGGAACACGGCAATGGCATCCACCCTCCATCAGCACTTGTATTCAAGGATCTCCGAGCCAGCTGGGCCATGCGTTCAGGTCGTGGTCCAGGAGAAGGCCGCAGCCAGAGAGGTGGACGGAGAGGAGGCCGATCAGGGGGCCGTTCCAGCCCCCACTCAGGGGAAGGCCGAGGTGATACGATAGATCAATATGCTCATAACGCATGTCAAGTGGGACTGTGGGAGACCCGAGCGGGGGTGGCCAGTGATGCGGAGATGGAGGACTGGAACAGAAAGAGGAATGCGGGAGCCGAGCTGGGAGCCAAAGTTACCACGCCTCCAAGTCCTGAAACTGCAGGGGGAACTGTGAACCCGCTGGCAATTGTGCCAGCAGCATTGGCGGCTGTTAGCCCACCACCGTACAGAGATCTGAAGAGAACCAAGAAGACGGAGGAGGAATCCGAGGGTGCAACCTCAAAAGTGAAGAATTTGGCGGGCTCCTTCGAGGAGCACCGCCAGGCCCAATGAGTGCGCTATGTTGGAACTGTCGGGGCGCGGGCAAAGCCGCGACAGTTCGAGAGGTTCGCGAGTTCACGAACAAATTTGCCCCTACCCTCTTCTGTATTGTGGAAACTTAGTTAGAAGGCTCGAGGGTAGAAGCGCTAGCAGGCACTTTTGGTTATGATAATAGTTTTGCGATTGATAGTCGTGGTAGAAGTGGAGGTATTGGCATTTTTTGGAACAATGAAATAAAATTGGAAATCCTTGGTTACTCGGACTACCATGTTGATTGTTCTGTTGAGGAGGTAGGTTTTGAGCCTTGGAGAGCTACTGTGGTTTATGGCGAAGCGCAAACACATCTTCGATATAAAACGTGGGACACTTTGAAAAACATCAGCACTTCTAGCAGTCTACCTTGACTTTGCCTTGGTGATTTTAATGAAGTTCTACGCCCCGATGAGCATGAAGGAGTTGGACAAAGGAGCAATGTGCAGATACAGAATTTCCGTGATGCGGTTGACGTGTGCATGTTGCTAGATGTTGGTTATGTTGGTCGTTTCTGGACCTTTGAAAAGAAAGTGAGGGGGAAATCCTACACTAGGGTCCGGCTGGATCGCGCCCTAGCCAATGCTGATTGGCGTGCAAGGTTTCCTCTTGCGGATCTGACACACCTGACGACAGCATCCTCTGACCACTGCCCCGTTCTGCTGCGTTTGAACAGAGAGCAACCGCGGAGCAGGCAGCCGAAACCTTTTCGGTATGAAGTAATGTGGGAAGGCCATGAATCTTGGAGTGACACTATCAACGCAGCATGGACGGGCGGGGGAATCAGCAATATAGTGGATGATCTTCGGGCCAAACTGCAAGCTATATCCCATGACTTGGGACGGTGGAACAACGAGACTTTTGGAAACGTTCGAAAGGAGATTAAAAGGCTGAAAATGGAGCTTGAGAAGTTGCGGGCTGATCCAAGCCGAAGGGCTCCGTCACACGTCGAGCTCAAGATAAACGAAAATCTAGTTGAACTACACCATCGGGAAGAAATATTATGGAGGCAGCGTTCACGGATTGAGTGGCTAACGTTGGGTGACAAAAACACAAAGTTCTTCCACTTGAGAGCAAGCATCCGAAGAAGGAAGAATATGATAAAGGCCCTACAAAACTCCCTTGGATCTTGACAAATGATCCAGATGAGCTTAAAGCAATGGTGCATGATTTTTATAAAACCTTGTATACATCAGAAGGTGTAAACAACATGGAAGCAGTTCTAAATTGTGTACCAGCCAAGGTACAGCGGAGATGAACGAGTTACTAGTCGCACCTTACAAGGGAGAATAAGTAAAGACAACCCTTTTTCAGATGTTTCCGACCAAGGCACCAGGGTCCGATGGTTTTCCAGCTCACTTCTATCAGCATCACTGGGATCTTTGCGGTGCCGAGGTAATGGAGGCGGTTCTCAGGATTATTCGGGGAGAGGAGAGTCTGGAAAGCATCAATGATACGGTCCTGGTTCTCATCCCCAAGGTAATGAACCCTACTATGCTAACTCAATTCCGACCAATCAGTTTATGTAACGTATTATATAAGATCGCGTCCAAGGTGATTGCGAACAGATTGAAGATGATTCTTCCGGACATCATTTCAGAGGAACAATCAGCCTTTGTGCCAGGCAGGCATATCACAGACAATATCATCAGTGCTTATGAGTGTCTTCACTTTATGAAACGCAGCAAGGCCAAGGTTAACAGTTTCTGTGCGCTTAAACTCGATATGATGAAGGCATATGACAGATTAGAGTGGGATTATCTACATGCGATGATGATAAAGCTTGGCTTTGCCCCCATCTTGGGTTCAGATAGTAATGAACATGGTGCGGTCAGTGTCATTTTCAATTCTTTTTAATGGTGAGAGGCTTGACACTTTCAACCCATCCAAAGGTATTCGGCAGGGAGATCCGATGTCCCCATATCTCTTTTTAATCGCAGCAGAGGGCCTTCCGTGCCTATTGAAATCCAGTTCCTCGTCGTCTCAACTAGAAGGGATCAAGGTGGCAGCAACAATGCCAGCCGTGAACCATCTCCTTTTCACTGATGACAACATGTTGATGTTTAAATCGAGTGTTGAAGGGGTTGTTGCAGTATCAAACTTGCTGGAAAGTTACTGTGTGGCATCTGGACAGCGGATAAATCATGAGAAATCCTCTATTTTCTT